GCCTTCTGATTGCAGTTGTTTGCCGTTGGCACTCGCATATTCGTTGGATTTCTAGTCGGAAGTTGTCGTTGAAATTCGAAACATCATGTGGATTTATTTTGCAGCTACTCGACGTGCTGTTGCCGCTGCTCGAGAATTTGTCGAGACATCAAGATGTTCGGCCGGTCTTGCAGGACCGGTTCCGAATGCCGGTTTGGTTTCGCAATAGGGGTATCCCTACTGCAGATGCAATCCTTTGACTCACCCTGCCAAGGAGGGGCGGAAAGCGGTGAGGATGGGGGGAAGAAGCGAAGGGTTTGAGAGGAGGACAGAGTCTATACTCTTCTGGTGCTGGAATGCGTGATGCCATTCCGTCCGTGAAATGCAGGATGATGAACAGGTGAGTGGCGAAGATACCCCTCCCTCCTTGATTTCCTTGCGCGTATACCACTCCCCCTCACTTTCCTTGCGTATATGCCAATAAGGAAAGGAGGGAAGAAGGGAGGTAAGAAAGGAGAGAAGGAAGAAAGAAGATGGGAAATTTGAGAAGAAAATATCGCTGTTGTGGAACGTGCATGAGGGAAATGAATGAGCAGAGGGTGGGAACAAAAGAAGAAAGCGTGATGAAATGGAGGACGGTGCACATCTTATCTAAGCTACAGCTATGGAGTTTGTGCCAGGGCAAGCATGGAGTGAGGGAGGTGGTTGATCCAGAGGGGGGGGGGGGGAGATGGAAGGGAGGGCTTGGACGAAGAAGTGAGACCCGAGGAGGAATAAGGGCGGCATTGTGGCAAGCATTTCAGTGTAGGACTGAGGCTGCAAGCAGAGGGAGAATGGGGCAGAACTTGCACGAAGGAGTAGAAGAGGGCGGAAGACTCAGAAGCATTTTTTGGGCGGCTATTTTTGATGCGCTGAAATGCTTGTGGCCATGCACGTGGCACAAAATAGATAGAGGTGAGTGAGGTATAGGAAGATCGTGGTGTGTGATTTGTCACAGGGGAGTCATGTGTGCAAATTTGGAGACTTCCCTCTGTTGTAGGTAGACAGACTGCTGGTTTTCTGGGCCTCCTGTGCTGTTTTTGTAACGGTATCGAGTGTGCACGTGTGGTTGTTGTTGTGTGTGTGTGTGTGTGTGGGAGAGAGAGAGAGAGAGAGAGAGAGAGAGAGAGAGAGAGTAGTTTTTCAGAAGGCCTCCGCCTTCACCAGCGGTCGTCTTTCTGTAAAGTAGGGACTTTTTGTACAGCTATACGGCGTATGTGTGTTGTTCCACTGTTCCACGTCTGTTTCAGGCTCATACCGAGGAGATGCAAAACCATACATTCATGAAGTGGCTTGCTTTTCAACAGTCGCACACTGAGAGAGAGAGAGAGAGAGAGAGAGAGAGAGAGAGAGAGAGAGAGAGAGAGAGAGAGAGAGAGAGAGAGAGAGAGAGAG